ACCTATTATACAGTGCTCCACAAAATGATGCTTCCACCCTCCGTGTTTACAGAAACACCTATTTAGGTCATTTTTCGTGAGAAGGTGTCAACATGAAAAATAAAAGTCTCCCTTCAAAACCTACGTACTAAAAGTTTGGACCCATCACCGTAACCCGGAAACGAGATACCGGAAAAAATCCAAAATCACGTTTTGGTCGATCCACAAAATGATGCTTCCACTCTGAAAAAGTGAGGTTTTGGAGGTTTCTGAGCTCTGCGGCCACTCTTTGAAAGCCTGAATCTGAAGAATTTAGAGTATCTGACCCCCATACACTGAGACTTTAATACAGGGTTACTGAATTCCGAATTCCGGTTTCCGGAAACTGAATTTCCGGATTAAAAATTCCGGATCACTGTTTTTGGATTCTGTTTTATGTGTACTGAATTCTGTGTACTGAATTTCGGAATATGCGCTCCGGATTCTGGATTCCGGAATCCGGATTTTTCGATTCCGGTTTTCTGGATCAGCTTTTTGAATGAATTTGAACGTCCCGAGAATCTGATATTCAGGTTTTCTTGACGAGCAAGAATTTAAGGAAGTTCCCGGGAGGTTACGAGAGCTTTTGAGATTCTGAGGGATTCTGAATCAACTTGGGACTGAAAGTTTCTCCAAGATTATGAGAGACGACTTCGATGGATCCCGCTCTAACTAGCACGACCTCCAAAAAGATCATCGTTCATGAAGACGAATCTCCAATTCCTGCTTCTTTTCCAGAAAGTTAGAATTCCGCGACGAAGAGGCGTGTCAAATTGTACATCTTTTTCGAAACGAAGTTCAGTTTGATCGAACCTTCCGATAAAATTGCAGCCCATATCATCACACCTTCTGCTTTGAAATTTCTTCTGGACAATCTCAAATTTTGGTTTTGAAAGTCTAGTCAGAGCGAAATCCTGGACCGTCTCTTATAATCCTGGAGAATCTTTCAAAATCCCAAGTTTATTCAGAATCCCTCAGAATTTCAGAAGCTCTCGTAACCTCCCGGAAACTTTCTGAAATTCTTGCTCGTCAAGAAAACCTGAATATCAGATTCTCGGGACGTTCAAATTCATTCAAAAAGCTGATCCAGAAAACCGGAATCGAAAAATCCGGATTCCGGAATCCAGAATCCGGTGCGCATACTCCGAAATTCAGTACCCAGAATTCAGTACACATAAAACAGAATCCAAAAACCGTGATCCGGAATTTTGAATCCGGAAATTTAGTTTCCGGAAACCGGAAATCCGGAAAACGGATAACCGGAATCCGGAATTCAGTAACCCTGTATTAAAGTCTCAGTGTATGGGGGTCAGATACTCAAAATTCTTCAGATTCAGGCCTTCAAAAAGTGGCCACAGAGCTCAAAAACCTCCAAAATCTCACTTTTTCAGAGTGGAAGCATCATTTTGTGGATTGGCCAAAACGTGATTTTTGGATTTTTCCGGTATCTCGTTTCCGGGTTATGGTGATGGGTCCAAATTTTTAATACGTAGGTTTTGAAAGGAGACCTTTATTTTTCATGTTGACACCTTCTCACGAAAAATGACCTAAATAGGTGTTTCTGTAAACACGGAGGGTGGAAGCATCATTTTGTGGAGCACTGTATATCTTCTACCAAGCCTGAAGAAAAACGTTTTAAAAGTTTTTTTCAACTCTGATTCAAAAAAAAACCAATTTAAAATACTTAGAAAGTCCTGAAATATCCTAAAGTTAAATGTGATCCGGGCCCGAACTCTTTCCATTACCAGTCTGCAGACTGGTACTAGTCTGCCTTCTGATTTTAACACGAAGATTGATAAGCTTTTATTCTGCATGCTACAAAAATTGATTACAATAAAAAGATATGGCAACAAAAAGCGCATCATGTCGATTAATGAGCATTGAGCAGATTCATTTGCAAATCGATGGTTCCAGAAAGAATCGCATCGTGGTTTCCGGTTGCCTGAAGTGTTATTATCAATTTTGAAATTTTTAGTCGAAAAATAGTTAATTACATTGGAAAACTCCTGGTCACTATTATTGATCTGGGAGTTTTTGGTAAAACAGGGAAGATTCAAATATCCGACTTTGTCATCCTGTGTTCCGTAGATAGAATAAATGTGGCTTCCTTCGTATCTTTGCCTGAAATCTGAAGATTTGAAAAGTCAAATCATAAGTTTAAAATACACTGAGTTGATATTCTTCAAAAATGAAAAGAGACAGAAGAGACCATTTACAGATGAACAGGCATTAGTGATAGGCAAAACACAAAGATAGGATGCTTTATTTGCTCCTGAACATACTTATGAGTTACAAATTTTTAGTTAAAAATTTTCAAACCTGCAACTGAAATGTAAGTTTCAACTGAGCTTGGACACATTTCCCACCAAGAATCGCCTTTAATCAGATATGTATTATAAAAAAGTTTTCTACTTGGTTTTGAAAACCTTTCTGACAATTGGAGACACTAAAGAATGTCCAAGAATATCAACTTTTTGTTTAGTGAAATCAGCGACCACTTTGATGAAGTTTCTCATCTAAAAAATTAAATAATCCGTATTCATGTCATTAAAAAATTATGAACCTGTTGAACAAATTCGCACTCCATAGAAACGTCTGTAGCAGGTGTGATTTATGCACTTCCACTACCGTAGGTGGTTCCATAAACCTGAAAAAAATACTTCCATACGAATACAGTATAGAAACAAACGATCTCTTGGCTCCAACCATTACTGAGCAATGCGTTCCTTTGTCCAAAGAAGTTTCCAGCATTATTAGTGGTTCCATGAACAAGAATGACTGCTCTTCTACTAGTCGGACTGTACCCATCATGAGTGCCTCCTCCGTAACTTCCAACTGCTCCCAAATCGTTTCTCGCCAAGTCATCATACATTTGTTGCGAATAGTTGTTAATTATAAAACTCTTGAAACTGGCTGAGAAGTCAGCAGACGCCAAACCCATGACAAGGAATAGAAGAAGAATTGTATGACGAGAAACCATATTTAAAGAGTTTGGGAGGAAGGTCTTTCCGGCACATTCTTCTTCTATTCGCAACTCTTTTTATACTCCAGTTTTCAGTCATAATACAGGAAAAGAAAAAATTTATTCAACACAAAACATTTGTGTTTCAGACAGGGAAATAAACATTTCTGTGTTCGTGATTACCATCAAACTGTTAAAGAAGATTAAAAAGAAAATACAGACTAGGTTTTTTTTATTTGGTTTTAAAATAGTTGATCTATGTTCATCATTTTTATTGAACTGGAAAATGAAAAACGAAGTTTGGAATCTAGTGTAAAACCTGTATTAGGAGGGCCCCCATAATAGAAAGGCCCATGTTTTTTTTCCAATAAGGTTCTAGAGTTAATTAGATCAAGTGATTAATGTCAAACACTTTATTTATAACATAACCCGTATTCATTAAGGCTGAAAGTGAAAAAAAATACGACAAAGTAATTATTCAGCAAGTGATTTTTTTGGAGCGGGAGTGAGCAGAGCGACGAGCATATTTCTAGATGTTTTGAGCAAAAACACGTAAGAAACAATCAATATGACCCGATTTTGGAAATTTCATCAGGTCGAATGTTCTCGATTTCGAAAACTTCAGACTTTCGTACATATCTCCGAGAAACCTGCAATAATAATAATTAGTTGGGAATCCCAGCTCTAAAGGGATATTTCACTAACCGAGTCATTCCTCTTATTTCTGCCTGGATTCGCTCTGTATCCCATTTCAACATAAATATTCGAGGGACAACTTGACGATGCCGCTGATTCTTTCGATCCAACGTTGATATTAGTTCTTAGAAGTCGTCCATTCAAAGATTTCAGAGGCCTATATGCAGGTGTCATATAAGAAGGCTCCGGTTGTTTAGTTTCTGTCTTTTGTAGTTCGTTCCAGATTTGAAGCTGAAAATTCTCAATAAAGTAATTCTACTCATACATTTGATCTCTTACATCATCGTTAGTTATGTAAATCGGGTTGTTCAGGATGACCCATGTTACAGTTTCATGGCATCCCGGATAAGTTAACGATCCTTCATACGTCACGTAGTGAGATGTTTTTGGGAGTAAAGCGGATGGTTGAAAGTCGGTGAGATTCGTAGACTGACCTGGAAGAACTACTACAGTAATCTCGAAAAATTTTTTCGAACCTAAAAAATAGTGTTTTCCTGATATCTTTTTAGGGACCTAGAGCGAAGGCCTAGACTTAAAAACCTGCTGTATAAGGAGAGTGGTTCCATGAGAATCTTCAATTTAAACTACCATGGCATTAGAAAAATAATTCAGGCCCATTTTACTATCTTAGGATTGCAACAACGACCAAAAAATAAATTTCAAAATCTAATCGGAATTTTCAGAATTTCCGAGATTTTCCGTTTTGAATTTTCTAGCATTTTCTAGGAATCATTCAAAATGCTAAAATTTCGAAAACTGGAATATTCTAAGTTTCGGTGTTTAAGACTTTTTAGGATATGGAATTTAGAAATGAATTTTTGAACAAATGAAATTCATGACTTTTAGAAAATATTTTGAAATTTCTGGACTTCCTGACTTTTTGTCTGGAGCATCAAAAATTGAGTTTTGGAAATCAGAAGTTGGTAATTTTCCGAATTCATAATTTAAGGCTTTTAAAACTGGGAAATTTTTGAATATTCAGAAGTTCCGAGTCTTGACATTTCGAATTTCCTTATTTTTTAGGATTATTCAAAAAGAAAAATAATAGTACCTTTATAAGTAATGCTTTGAGAAGCAACAGTTAGCCTTCTCAATTCGACAGCAGTTGTTTTTCCAATCTGAATTCAAAAAAGTTATTCAAAAAAAATGAGAAAAGAACGTACATCAACGATAACAGAAACTGCTAAAAGGCCTCTTGGAGACGTCATGGCTACACTGAAATTCGGATAGAGTGCACTGTTGTATGCCAATAGTTGAATCTCTGCTGGAAATCTGACTCTATCCACAGTGTGCTCTGATCCTTTCTCTCCTTCATCTGCTCTACCGAAATGGACGCTTATCTGGAATCGATGTATTCGTTTTGATAGGAATAACAGGATAAGCTTACTTGATGAAGATTGTATCGATAAGGCATTGTGGGTCCTCCTGTGATGTTTATTGTGGGCTTATTTGGTAAATCTTTTATTGTCACTACTGGCAGTTGACCCGTATTTTCGAATACTGCTTCCACCTGATCAGAGAATATTGATTACCGTATTTGCTCTAATAGAAGCCCATGCTATACGTATGAGATCAATTATCTCGGTTCCTTCAAAATTTATGAAAAGTTCGTCAACTAAGAAATTGTTCATCCTAATATCACCAATGTTTTATCAGTTGACAGATTATTGATATCTCTCATGGGAACCGAGATAAATGAGCTCAAAGTGCATGTGTAGAGTGGGCTTCTATTATAGCAAATACGGTAGGAAGTTCCGAACAGAATAAACACTTACAATGTTTCCTTCGATGTTGATAGGCATTAGATGAGGATCGTAGAGAAGCTGTGATGGATCAATGTTGACTGGTGACTGCATCTGACCGGCTGTGCACATTCTCCAATCGCCATGGAGAAGTCCCCAGAAGTCAGGACCTTAAAAAGTTTAATTAGTTTTTTTGATAGTTTATTGAAACGTTTTTTAATCTGATTAGTGCTCACCTATGACACAAGGATATATACAGGCTGTCAAGAGCCATGGTATCATAATATTCTGTGAAATTTTCTGTAAAAGAGAAAAGAGAAGAATAAGGTTTTAGTAGTGCGAGTGAACAAAGCAAAGAAGAAGAAGAAGAGACATAAAAAAAGTGCAAGGAAAGTTGCCCGTGACAACTGACACAGTACTTGTTCGTCCCGAATTATTTATGAGTTCTCTCGCCGGCCTAATTGGTGTCGAAAACGGCAAAATGTACATTCGAAAGTAGGCTAAAAGACGGAAGAAGAAGAAGAAAAAGTGTAAAAGAGAAAGAGAGTGAGACTAAAAGAAGGGAGATTGATGGGAGATCTATTTTTTAAAGGGCGATCGGTAAGAGGACACTAAATATTAAGATTGCTGGCTCATCTGGAGAGCACACCTTTCAACGTGTTCTTCTCCGGAAATGTGCCAAGAAGAGACATCACACATTTTGCATATTTAAATCATCAGTAAACGATGAAGAAGAAGAAGGCGGAGTACATGAGATTGATACAATTGTGAATAAAGCACCGGAAATCTTAGTGCGAAATTAGAAAACAAGGGTTTCGGGAGCAGAGAATTGTACTCCAAATTCTTCGTCATAGTACATCAAGAAGAGTTTTCAGAATTGTAGTTTTTCATCTAGCTACGTTTTTGGCTATCCTTTAAAAGTTCAATTCTGATTTAAAATCTAGAGAGTCTTTTTTTTGAACTGTCTAGTTAGTGGTCTTTTGAGTTTCAAACTTGAATGATACAGAAATTTATGGAAAAAACTCTTTTTTGCTAAAAAATTTCAAATTTGGTAAAATTGATACATTTCCATGAATTTCGAACGAGAATTCACCAATTTTCAAATGAAAATTTCCTGGAAAAATAGGCCGAAAAACAGAATGGCCTCCTCTAATTTAAGGGCTCCTGTAATAGGAGAGCCTTCCGGAGGTACCTATCAATAGAAGGGTCGGCCCTTCTAATACAGGTTTTACGTTAATTTCCATAAATATTGAGCTAAAAATAGTCGGAACGGTTCAAAATAAGCCGAGTTACAATTTTGTAAAATTGTACTGAGATTTAGAAATCTTTGTAGATTGTAGTTTTTTGGACTTAGAAGCTGCAAACTAGAAAAATGACTCTCAGTAAAATTTCAAAACCGTCGTAACTCGGCTAGTTTCCCACCGTTTTCAGCGGGTTTTTTTCTGGAATTTTGTCAGGGTTTTTTGAACTATAAATTACACTTTTTTCATTACGGAAATTTTGTTGTTGGATTACCGTAAAGCCTGTAATAGAGGGACCTTCTCGCTGTCAAGTTTGAGATGACTTATCTCAATTCCTTTAAAAAATATCAAAAACTTTTTAATTGATAAAATATTAATGACATTATGATAAACATTTTATCTGTTGACTACTTTTTGGTATCTTTTACAGGAACCGAGATAAATTGGGTCAATTTAATATGTTAGGGGACTGTTCTATTACAGGTTTTACGGTAAGTTTTGATTAGCAGAAGATCAGCAGAATTTTCAACAGATTTAAGAAAATGAAAAAAAATTTCTAGAAGATTGTAGGTTGAGATTTTTCACAAAATTAATCCGTTTGTTTGGTGTTCCTTCTAAAAACAAAAAATAAGGATTCTGTAAACAAGGCGTTAGACACCTGCGAAAAGTTGAAAAGTGTCCCACTGAAATGTCTGGAGAGTCACTTTTCAGAGATATTCAAAAGAATCTATTGAAGAAATAAGGAGTGTATACTATGATGAAAGAAAATGGAGAATCTGACAACTGATGGTGCCAATTATTTGAGTATTATATGCAAAAATATCCATCTTGAAAACGCACGTTTTCCGTTTTTATTGTTGCGAACAAAACTGACTGACTAACATGTCGTTTTCCTTGGGAATACAACTGGGAGGGCCGAATTGGTTAGAAATTAGATTGGTGAGGGGAGCCAAAACGTTTATTTTGACGGAGTCTCCGATTAGAAGAAGGCGTTGAAAAAGGGTGCACCGCCCGACCACTTTATCCAGGTATTCTCTATTTTTGCAGGAAACCAAGAAGTTTTATTAGGCTAAAAGCTGGTGGTACGTTTTTAGTGTTTCGGTGTCAAGAAATGCATGAGAATGGGCGTGGAAAGAATGTTGCCGTTTTGATACTCTCTCCAAAAATGAGTTGACGACGAAGAAGAGGTGCACACGAGTAGGCGCGAGAGAGCTCGTGAGCCCCCCTTTGGACAAATCGTGGGAATCTTTTGGCCAGTAAATTGATGAATAATTCTTCTGATTTCGGGAGGGAGGGATCATCATAGGAAAATAGTGAGAGAAAACTAAGAGAATTAGAAAATAAGGGTTCGAAGGAATCTGTGAATGTCCGGCGAAGAAGTACTTGGCACTCGTCTTTCACGTTCATCAGGAATTCGGAAAGAACAGGGTGGCAAAAATATGTTTAGCAGGAAAATAAAATTCTAGAGAGAAGATTCATTGAGATTTTGTTCCTCTTGCTTTCTAAACGGCATTGAAAGAGCTACAGTACCGGTCGATAAGATATACAAAAAGGTTGATTTTGGATCATTTTCAGGATTCCGGCTTTCAAGTTTCCTATCACTTTGAAAACGTTGGAGGGTGTAAAATAGTCCTGGATTGAAAAATTTGCTCTCATATAGTTTTTTGAAAATTCCTAGTTTTTCAGCTATTTACCGATTTCTGGAAGACACGCTTGTTTTTTTAGTAAATTTAAAGAAAAATTCGGAATACAAATTCCTGATATTTGAATTGCAATTCTCCAAATAAATATGATTCCGCGTCACTTCGAAACCAGTCATTTCGAAACCTTGGTAATACAGGCGAATGGAAAAAATTCAGACTACAAAAACAATTTCAGGGCATTCAAATATGCTTTTTCTGAAAGAACATATTCTGAAATTCGAAAAAACCCCAAATTTAATATTTCCGAAGCGGATTCTTTTTTGAATTTTTGGAGTTTCAGAATGTGCGCTATCAGAAAAAGCATATTTGAAAACCCTAACATTGTTTCTGTAGTCCGAAATTTATCCGTTTGCATGTATTACCCAGGTTTCGAAATGACTGGTTTCGAAGTGTCGCGGTTTCGTAGTGACGTGGAGCCATAAACATAAGGAAAAAATTGGTAAAAAAGATAAACTTCAAAGAATTGCAAAAAAAATCCATAAATTCAGTTAGTCACATTTTAAAGGAAAATAGTAAAATTGAGTGTTGGGTACTTGGTCAACAACACAGGAAACATTTTTCTTATGTTAGGCAAAATTTTTGTTCCAGAGTCATTGTCAACAAAAAATCCCATTAGGAACCAAAAAAATCTATCATTTCTATACTCTACTTTTTTTTAACGTTTTCGGCAGAAAAAGGAGGTAAAAAGAAAAAAAAAAGAATTGTAACGAACACCTTAACGTTGCTCTCTTTCTCTTTTAGACTATCGTTATGATCGTGAAAAAAACGAAGAGATTCTGGAAAAAAAAGCATCGGAAAAGACATGCGCAAAGTGAATTCTCGCCGCGCGGTCGAGACGGAAATTCGAATTTTGTGAGCCAAAAAAAGGGTGAGTGAGTCCTCGATTCTGTTTTTATGTATCAGTATTTTTTCTTGTCTTGCAAAAAATGTATATAGTCTAAAAAAGTATATGAAAACACTTACCTCCGAATAAATCATTGTCAAAAGTCCATGGATACTGTACTCCATCAATTATTGTTAAAAGTTCTGTTGTGATGTATAGTAGTATCAGTTTTTTGCGCATTCTGAAAGTAGAAGTTGAAAATTTGGTTTGGTGAAGAAAGTTGGAAGGAAAACGGATAATAAAGCAAAGAACCATAAATCATGAAAGGAAAAAGTTGAGTTAGGAAAGGATAAAAGAATTTGAGCATATTTTTAAAGCTGGGGGATATGAAAAAATAACTATTAAGAAATTTTGCCTCTCGAGGAATTGAACTTGTGGGACGAATATCGAAGGTGGGGCGACTGAGCCATGCGGAAAAACTGAGCCATGCGGACAATATCGACTGAGCCATGCGGACAAATCTAGAACTGCCGTTCGACTTTTCGATAAGCTTTTAACATAAACTTTTTTATAAAGAAGGATCAAACTACCAAAAAAAAGTTGTGTGGGTCAAACTGGTCATTCGGTGCACTTCCCCGGATATCCAATAACCATAAATTTTACGAGTTACTCACTTGGGAGACCCCCGTCTATTCCTTCACATTAATCCGACATTTTTCATTTTCGCGTGTATGAAAGAAGGAAGAAATAAGAAGAAGCAATGTCTTTGGGACCCGTAGAAGTACCAGGAAAGTGCCCAAGTTGAAAAAAAAGGGAATTCAGAATGCTTTTTCTGGTTGGGAGAAAAGATATTCAATACATTGAAAAGATGAGAGGATGATGGAAAAACGAAAAGAAGGGACAGTTTCTCACGAGTCGCGCTTTCTAATTGGGTTTCTTAAGGCAATAAAGGGGGTCGGTCGGGAAACGAAAAAAGAAAAAGCGGAAAAGATGTGCTGATGAGATTGGATGACCTTTGGGGCCCATCGCGAGAGCATTCATATATGGGTTAGTAGTAATGGAAAGAAGTATGAATAAAAGAAGAAGAACCCTGGGAAAGTTTTTTTTTCCTAGTAAGACTTCGGGAGAAGAAAAATATGATAAACTGAAAAATAAGCTACGAGTGGCTGATATGATAAACATAGCGGCTTAGAGGGGGTCTGGAAAAAACGAGAGGGATAATAAATAATGGATTATACAAGTTTAAACTGAAAAATTCGAAAAAACAAAAGTCCAAAAATAGAATACAATAGGAGCTTAGGAATCAAGTTGTTTCAAGATGTTCAAAAATTCAGACCTCCGAAAAAAACCATACTTGGAAAATCAAGGTCTGACCTGCGGACCTGGCCGGGTCTGGACGGCCCAGGCCGGCCCTAATTTTTCACAATTGAAAATTTCTGAAAGTTCAGAATTTCTGTTTCTAATTCTGAAATTTTAATTTTTTCAAAATTTGAAATTTCAAAACCTTGTTTCAAATTTTGAAATTTCAGATTTTTTTTTCAAATTTTGACATTTCAGAATTTTTTTTTCAAATTTTCAAATTTCAGATTTTTTTTCAATTTTTGAAATTTCAGATTTTTTTTTCAAATTTTGATGTGGAAAATATTTTTCAATGACACTCCAGAAAATGTTAAAAATTTTTTAAAGTGACCCCAAATTTGTTTCAGAAAATATTGAAAACTTGGGCCCAAACGGGCCGGACCAGAGCCATGAGAATTCTAAAAAAGCCCGGCCTGGCTCGTTGCTCTTGCTCCAAACTCCTACCTATGACCACAAAGCCACAATAACTCAATTATTTTTTTTCGAAAACAAATCTTATAAAATAAATCTGAATTGACTTTTCTTACCACCCAAAAGTATCAAATTTCTTTTTCAAAAATCGGGATAAAGCCAAGAAAGGAAACGAACGATTTGGTACAAATACTTCTTGCCATCTTCCGGAAATGCTCTCAAATTGCAAAGTGCAACACACATGTCGAGCAATTTGGTGAAAAATGTAAGATTCGATTAGATCCGGAGGTGGTGGTGGTAATTCGAAAAGTCATATCTAGAGAGAGACAGGAATGGAAGGCCCCGTTTGGCACATCATTTACAATTCTAAAAAGGGAAACGACACTTCCGTTTCTCCCCCTCCTACTCCAAATGTTAATTTATCCATTTCTGAATACCTTTAATGCGTTCTTCTTCCACAATTTTAGAATACATGAAAAAAGAGGGAGTAGAAGTGATGGAAAAAATAAAGAAAAGCGGGTGTCTAGGAGCACTCATCTCCGTCTTTGTGCCGCTTGTTCCTAGCCTAAAAATCGCTGTGTCCAGCTCTTTCTAATCTGTTTTCAATGACCTCCTCAAGCCGCGTTGTTGGATTATCAAGAAAGTGCGGGGAAGTCCAAGGTTAGCGAAATTCAAAAATATAAAAATATAATTCAATATATCAGTCACTTCTAGAACAAAACTTTTGCTCTTGCCCGTTTCCGACAACAAGCAACGGAGGTTGGATTGGTAATTGGATTGGTGAGAGGGTGTCAAAACGAAGTGACAAAGTGTTATTGCTTTCTTTAGATAAAAAAAGAGCGTGGAGAGCAATAAAAAAGGAGGGATCAATCGCCTTTTCAAAGTAATAGAAGAAACTAATGATACCAAGAAAAGACCAATAGAAGGGCCCCTTTGATAGAAGGGCCCTCCGAGAGTGTCTCGGAAAAATAGAAGCCCCCCCCCCCCAATGTGACTTTTGAAAAAAAAACCTAATTTCCGTACGTTTTCGGGGAAAAATATTCCAGAAACTTCATGATTTCGCAGAAAATTGTTGAATTTCTATTTTTTCTTCCCAAAATTTCTCAATTTTCTTGAAATTGATAGATTTTCATTCATTTTGAACAAGCATTCGGCGAAATTTTCGATGAAATTTTCTAGAAAAATGGCTGGAAAAATAGAAATGCCCCTCTAATTGAAAGGTTCCAGTAATAGAAGTGCCCCTGTAATGGGAAGGCCCCCGTAATAGATGGGCCATCCGAGAAGGGCCGGACCTTCTAATACAAGTTTTACGGTATCCCCAATTCCTGTCAAAGAAATGAAAAAGTTGTCAACTATTTAATCATAATATCAGAAATGTGCTGTCAGTTGATACATTTTCGATATCTTTCATAGAAGCCAAAAAAATAAGCTCAAACGTGAGTGTGTGTGCCCTTCTATTACAGGTTTTGCGGTATCTTACAATTTACTTTTTTATCTATGAACACATTCAAATAAAGTTTAATTCGGACTGATCCTATGTTCTTGTCATCTGAAAAACAATTTTCCATTTTTCCTAAATTATTTTAACCACCCCCTACTTGATAGAAGCCCCTGCTTCCTTCTTCTTGAAATCGCAACGTCGAACTTTCTCGAATTCCTTCGGCAGTGTTGGAGATTTGAAGCATCTTTCGTATCTGCGATGGCAATACACGTCATTGATCCGAGGGAACTGTGAATGATCTTGTGCTCTGCAACTAATTTTTTCAGAGAGTAACCTAAAAAATATCTTGGAACCTGCGACAAATCTTGATTAGGAAAACAATAGTGCCAATGAGTGCAACCAACCACCAGACTGTTCCAGCAGCTATGATATACAGAGCATTTTGTGCATTCTCATCGTCTTGTGCCAACTCATGTGGATAGGTTTTGTAGTCCCGGTCAGTCTCATGAGTTCCATCTTTGAATGGTTCCTTCAGATTCATATGTAGTTGTGTCAATGTGTGATTATCAATGGTTCCCCAGTCTCGATCTTTTCTTAAAACCGGAGCATTAGCAAGAGCATCGGCGAGAGGGGGAGATCGGTGAACAGTGGTGATGTAGTTGTACAGATAGAATGGTGGATTTTCTTCCGCTGAAAAAAACAACTTGAATTTTAATTTTATGAAACTTCCCACCTTGGTTAACAGTATCCGCAAGCCATACCAAACACCTCAAGTTATCCCGATACTCTGATTTCACATTTTGATTCACTTGTAACGAAACATTCGCCATCTTTGCAACAGTCTTTGCATCTTCAAAAGCTCTAGGTTCGAGACGAGTTTTCGGTGCCTTGTCATGTGCAAACCTAGCAAGCATCAACTGAAAATTCGTTGTTTCATAAATACAAAAATGTTGAACCTACCGTCCAATATTGCGGAGAATTGCAGTAAGTTACACTACAAACGCAGATAATCCAATTGTGTTGATAATAGCACTTGTTCTTTTTCAATGTCTCCGGAACTTTCCCATTCAGGGTTCCAGCTTTGATTTTACCTCTGAATGTGGAAGCACAGTCCGACATTCTATTGACAACAAACTGATGTTCAGTAATATTAGCATGGAAACTGGCATAGCAGTATGTTTCGTCTGTGTGCTTCGTCTAGAAAATAAAATCTTGAATCAATATTCGAAAGTCTGGCTCCGCGTCACTTCGAAACCAGTCATTTCGGAACCGGTTCGAAACCGTGGTAATACAGGTGAATGGCTGATCTTCAGACTACTAAAACAGTTTAACGGTTTTCAAATATGCTTTTCCCGATAGAACACATTCTGAAAATCGAAAAGAAAACTCCAGGAATTGGTGTTCTTAAAAGAAGAAACAAGCTTAAATTTTTCGATTTTCAGAATGTATTCTATCAAAAAAAGATTATTTGAAATCTCTAAAATTTTTTTGTAGTCTGAAATTTATCCGTTCGCCTGCGTTACCACGGTTTCGAACCGGTTCCAAAATTACCGGTTTCGAAGTGACACAGAGTCAAAAGTCTGATTTACATAATTCCTGGCTTCATGTTTCATATAGGATTTGTCGGTGTCAAAGATATCCTCTGGATCGAAGTTCATCTGGGCACAATATTTGGAACATAAGCTGAAAATACGAATATATTATATTTCTCTGAAATTCTAAAATTCTAATTCACATTGAAAAGATGGAGATTGTAAGCGTCAGAAAGGTTAACACCTTCATGATTTGGAGAAGCTTTCGATAACTGCAAAAAGAGTTTTAAAACGTGGGAGGAGAGGGAAACAAAAATATAAAAATTTCCAGATTTCAACACGTTTCTAAAGGACGCTACTGACAATGACCTAGATTTTGAATAGTGATAAATTGGAATTTCAAGACGAGATATCTCTCACTCGAAATACAAATAAAAAATGTTGTGCTCTTCAAATCTTAGTTGTTCAAAAGAAAAAGGAGAACAAAAAAGAATTATGAATCAGAAAGAAAAGAAAATAGAAGACATAATCCTTGAACGGTTGAAAAAGGGGATTGAAGTGTCTCAAAAATGACAAATCGACCAAAACTTCGAAATAGTAATCCTTAGGAGAAGGGGACTCTCGAAATATGACTTTTTTACTCTTTTTTCCCGGTGCACACAACTTTAGAGAGTATTATTATATGGCTCAATGGTTTTGTGTGACGTTTTTCAATGGCCCCCAAGACTAATCTGTTTTTTTACTTTTGCAAACCACAAACATAAAGAAACAAAAATAATAAAGAATCAAAAAGAAATAGGAAAATGAAACAAAGAGGGAAAAAAGGTTAATGAACAGTGACTACCTGGATGAAAAGGAAAAAAAGGAAGGGACACTGAAAACGAAGGTGTAGGATGAGAGCCGCAGAATTTCATTCAGCTGCTCGCTCATGCATTTTAAGTGCCGTTTTGTGACAAGTTACCCGTCTAATCGACATGACATTTCGGTCTGAGCAATAGGTTTGAAAATCAGAGAAAAATGAACTCAGAAAATGACAAAAGATTTTTGAGATTTCGGTGTTGATTGTTTGAATCGATACCGTAAGCCCTGTAATAGATGGGCTCCAAACTCTACCTTTGAGCCAATTTATCTCGGTTTAGGTTAAAGATATGAAAATTTGTCAATTAATAAATTGTTAGTCATAATATTACAATCATTTTATCAGTGAACATATGTTTGATATCTCTTATAGGAGCCGAGATAATTGAACTCAAACTTGACAGTCTGGGGTCCCTCCAATTACAGGTTTTACGGTATACAGTAACGGTCAATAAAATATACAAAAACGTATTTTTCAGTTAATTTCGACCATTTTCAGGACTCCTGGATCAGGAGTCTGGAGCTCGGCTGTCAAACGTCCAATCACTTTGAAAACTTTGGAGGTTAAAACAAACCATCGAAAACTTGAAAGCCGAGCTCCAGACTTCTGAAAATGGTCAAATTCCACTGAAAAAGAATATCTTATCGATCTCTCGTCAGAGCAAAAAACTGATTCTGACTTGCTCATTTTGTAACTTAAATATTTTTTGAAAAAGAAACAAAAATTGAAAGCCTTCATACTAAAGTTCCTGAAAAATCCAGAAGGTTTTGAAGGTGGCAAAAATGGAACGAGAAAAAATATTTACTTTTTGCCATGATGCCAAACACTCCTCCTGCATGCGACGTTTTTTAATCAGAACGGAAGAATGCAGACGTCCTCGCGAGCACCACAAGAGAGTAGTTTTTGTTGTTCATAAAAATTATTCAGTGCCTGAAAATAGATGTTGTACAAAGAAGGGGGAATAAGATGAGGAGCCGCCTCGACTAATATGGAAAAGCAAGGATCCGTTTGTTTTTCCGTAATTCCAATAAGTTTCGTTGGGGCTCTTTCACACCAGACTGATGATACTTGAGAGGGACGTACTTGAAAAACAATCAGAATTTTTGAATGGAGAAAAACGAAAATAAGTGCAAGCTTTTTCTAGAAATTTTTTTATGTGGACAAAATAAATTATGTAAGTGTGTGAGATCATACAAGTATAGTTTTTCAGAAAAATATATTCAAATTTCGACAGAGTTCTCATCCACAAATTCGCGGCGAACCAATGTTTCGAAATCTTCCTGACCGATATTGTCTGATTGGATCTGAAATGGAAAACTATTTTTCAAATTAAAGGTACCAGCATGTTTGCCGCTCCTCCGGCGCTTCAAACGCTGGCTGGTGCGCCTTTGGCGCGATTTAAGTTAAATCATTTAACCTATTTATTTTATCTGTTCACCGCTCCTCACTTTTTGTACGCAATAAATCAATATTAGGTCACGTCCCCTTCTTCTGTCCACGTTAAAAAAAATCCACATTTTGGAAAAAAAACTCGGGTTTTTGTAAAATGGCACTCTTCAAATTTTATTGTTTGATAATTTTCACAAGCCCTTCTCTCTGGTAAGAAGCCATCTGCCTCACGCTTCTTCTTTTTGGTTCATTTTCTTTTTGATCTTTTGATTGGTCGAATGCGAAAAAAGTACTAAAAGGCCCTAAGGGTCGCCATGTTTTGGGGTTCATGGCTAGGTGTTTTTCACTGAACGTCCCCCAGTAGCAAGAGATTCAATCAAAGATCAGAAGAAATGAACAAATATCAATAAAACGCGTATGCATGGCTTCTTACAAGAGAAAAGGAACTTTGGAAATTATCCAACAATGGTCCTCGGAGACCATGAAACCTTTCAAGTACTGAGCCTTTACGTGGCGAAAGGGATCAACAGACGAAGGTCTGGCTAATCACACTAGTTCGTATTCAATCTGTTTCTTATCAATTTCCATTTTTGAATTAAACTTCATTGTTCCCCCTACTTGTACTTTCCGCTAATCACTACATTTTTTTGGAATTTGTACTCAATTATTCTAGAAAAAAATCAATTTTCGAACATTTTAATGGAATAAAATATTTTGTCGCTACTCCCCTTTTAAATTTTTTCATTCATCTTACCAAATATTCCCTTCGAATGGCTTCACTGTCGATGGAATCATCAAGATATTTTTCCAAAAACAATGGATTGAATCCAGAAGACGTTGCGTTTCCGTCTTTCGGACTACGGTTTTGAGGATGATCCACTGAAAAATGTATTATTGATAAGAATGTTTAACTTCTGCTGACCTGTAGCATATCTCAACTGAACGAAAGCTTGCGCTTTTCCAGCAACCACCATTACGGGAACAGTATTTCCCTGAGAAACCAGCGTTTGAGGTTTTTGAAGTTTGCAGCAGAATCGTGCTCCGGTTACAGTTTTATCATCATACATTTTCAGTTCAACTCCTTCTTCATAACATCCTTGAACGCAATTTCCAATCACTGAGTCCACAATTACAACAATACGTTTTCCAGGAGGAGCCTATAAAGTATATTCACTTTTCTGAATAACAAATTGATTACTTACTGTAATGTGATAGTTACATTTTCTAACTCCATTTACCAGATACTTTGGTTTGATGTTAATTGTAAACTTTCTTTGCGTCTCACCAGCAACCAGAATTCCATTACATTTCGCTGGATTTGATGTCTCGATTCCTGTACAATCCTTTCCTCCATATCCTGGTGGACACCTACATTTACAAACCCATTTTACAAGAACAAATTCAAAAGACTCACACACAAACATTGCAATTTCTCGGATGTTGATAGCCTCCATTGACACACTTAATCTTGTATTTACAATTGGTTTCACAGTTGTAGTGCCTATTGATTTTCGCCACATCTAGAAATGAAGGTCCTCGGAATTGACCCATTGTGTTTTGCATGTTGATATCCTTGGCGATTATTGTATTACCTCCATCGATGGAAAACCGGAAAAAGTTTTAAATTTTCAGGCTCCATAGCCTACTGTAAAATCTGTAACAGAAGGGCCCTAACTTTTAACTTTGAGCCAATTTTTTTCGGTTTGTGTCCAAGATATAAAAAAGTTGTCAACTGATAAAATGGTTATCATCAAAAATGTTTTGTTAGTTGACACATTTTTGATATCTTACACAGGAGCCAAGATAAATTAGCTCAAACTTGACAATCTGGGGCCCTTTTATTACAGGTTATACGATAAATAGTCTGTAGGGATCAGTCTTACTCGGTTGGTCTATAATGCATCACACTTCCAATGTCATATTTCTGACCATAGGTTTCCATATTCCTCATTCCAACTATAGCGAAATCGTAAAAGTTCTTCTGTGCAATTCTCGATTTTATAATTTGAACATAATTGTTTCTATCATATCTTGATTGCTCGTGAAATAGTCCAAGCGCATGAGCTAACTCATGCGAAGTGATTCCAAACATTTCACATCCCTCTCCTATATTCAGAATCTGTGCTTTTTGTGCTTCATCCCTTCCAACTGTACTCCAACATCCTTCTTCCTCAGCGGACATCAACAAATACACTTCTTCATTTGTCCGTTTTTTGAAATTGACACATGTGTTCTTCTCCCAGAACGAAATTGCCGCAATCAGTGAGGAGCGGGATTTGGGGGCTGGAAAATTGTATTTTTATGAGATTCACAAATAAATTTGAATTCTTACATAAAGATGTATGAAGCTCGTAAGGAACATAAGGTAACCAAATTGTACTTGGATATTGAGCATTTCGGAAAGCAGTTCGTTTTCTTCTTGGATGGTCTAATTGTTCCCGAACAATGTTGGAAAGGTGTTCGAATGATAGATGGATGTCTCCTTGGAAGAGAAGATCTCTGTAAAATCCAGTTTGTATAAAAACTTGATGAACTTTTACCTTTTAGATCTATTAATATCTGAAATACTGCTCAACCGATCCGTATATTCATGTTTTGGATACGAGATTCCGGGAGGATCCTGAAACAGATTGAATACAAAAAAAGGACATTTGAAACCAACTTACACTTCCAATATCCGGAGTTTCAAGTGCTGTGATTGCACCCAATATATCCCGAAGTTTGAATTGTTGGAATGGATTTATTAAATCAGTCAGCTTAAAATCAGATATAAAAAATTTCAAATTTTCAAAGAGTACTCACTTTAGGAATCTTCGGTAGCTCTACCCCATATGACCCGATAAATAGTGTCCAAGATAAAAATAGGAAGCGCATTACCCAAAATGCCACCAAATTCTTCCTCTAGGGTCTGAGAAGTCGGATAATGGAGGATCAATGAAGGCGTCTGGTCTGGTTATGTAAATGAATATCTTAGAAACGAAAGGGGCACATTTATTCCGAACAGACTTAACAAAAAAGAAAAAGAAAAAAGAGGTGAATGAAACTAAAAAGATCAGCATCGTGGGCAAACATAGTAATGTCTGGTGAAGGCGTCAAAGTGGCGATATGTCAGCTTTTCTTTATCGTCTGATTGATAGAAAAAAGAAAGAAAAAAGAAGAGACATATTGTTGTGTAAAGACCATTGAACTTGTCAAGAGGTGTGGCGTGCCAAAAGTCCAGAACGTGATTGGAGGATAATCTGAATAAAGTAGATGATGTAATGCTTTTAGGAACATCTTAATTAGATATTTCAGTGGACCAGAATTCTGATCAATAAAGGAGACACTTTTTTTGTGAAATTTTAACATTTCAAAAATTCATTTTTAACTATCAAAACTTCAAAGGGGGACTCCGACCAAAAATGTTTGTTGCCATTTTTTTTCCAATTCTATGTATTTTCCTGATATCATTACAAAAAAATTTCAAAAATGCCGTCAAAAATATGAATACCGTAAAAACTGTAATACAAGGGTCCCCGTATTGTCAAATTTGAGATGATGTATCTCGGTTCCTAAGAAAGATATCAAAAATGTGTCATTTGTTAAAATGTTGGTGATTGTTTGTATCTTTGAAAGGAGCTTAGATAATTTGACTTAAAGTTAAACGTTCGGGGCCCTTCTATTACAGGTTTTTGGCTACGAAAAGGGACGGAAATTTTAGGCGTCCCACCGCCGTGGCCTAGGTTTCTGACTGCGCGGGAACTCAAATCCTCGTCCCTTTTCGCAATCTTTTTAATAATAATAATAATTTTTTGCTTTCAACGGTGTTTTCAATTTTTTTTAACGAAAATTTTCGTAATGATATTAGGGAAATACATAATCTTGGAAAAATTTTAGTGCAATAATTAAAGTTTCTGACTCTACATAGTTGGTTATTTTGAATTTTAAAGATTTTTTTGGATTTAAAAAACTTTGGAATTCGAAGAAAATTTTGGATTTCGATGTTTCTCAAGATTTTTGAAATCCAAAAATATCTTCAAAACTGAAACTTTTCTGTAAAATCCAAAAAAAAGTGAAATCCAAATTTGTTTTTTTTCAAAATCCTCAAATTTCTTTAAAACTCCCGCAAGAAGACAGGGGTATACGGTATTTGTAGGCTTTTAAATTGAGTAAAAGTTATCAAATTTAAAAATTTTTAAATCCGATTTTAGCTATTTTCATGAAGTTTTCTTTAGAGCAAAATCTAATTCTGATTTCAAATTTTTTTCGCTCTTGACACATGTTTGCAGAGTTCCTTTTCTCCATTTTCAACTCTTCATATTCAATAACTTTACTCTGTTATGCTCTAAAAGTTCTCCCTCACCATCAAATATTTGCTTTCCAATCCTCTCCCTCAGCTTCAAAAAGTTCTTCTTATCAATTTCCGTCTTCCAATTAAACTTCATTGTTCCCCACACTTGTACTTTTTTCCTTCTCATTTTTATGATTACGTCAAAGCTCTCACTTTCAACATATAATCTCTCCTTCTCGCCTTCGTCAGGTGTTCTCTCTCAATCGATGATTTTGACCCAGATATATATTATTTCTAATGCTCTCTTTTTCATTCTCCGTCTCTCTTTCTCTCACCGCTTTACGCATGATTCATTCTCAGTTTTTTTCATCCGCTGACGGACGGACGGTTCTACTTTTATTTGCTTTTCACTTTGGAACCTCGTTTTGAATATTTTCATACGTTACAGAACATGTCGAGACAACATGAACAACCACCAACACCGACTTTCTCTGAGAGTGAGTTAAAATATTCAGAGACTAATAAAAGAAAAAATTGTACTAAATTCCAGTTCGACAACGTCTTCAATCTGGGGAAGATTTCGATCTAGCACATCGTCTACAAGAACGAGAATATGAGATGTAACGGAAGTTTGCTTTCACTTTTTTTAATTTGATAATAATCGACAGGTACTACAATCACAATCGTAATGTTAATGGAACGATAGTGAGTGATAGAAAAAAGACGAGAGAAGAACAAATGGCAGAGGACGAACAGGCGGCTTCATTGAGGAGAATGGGCTTGGCTGAAAGGTTAGGCAAATATAATTTTGTGAGAAATTTTTGGAATTGCATCTACCGTAAAACCTGATTTTAGAAGGACCGCTCTTCTATTGTTTCAAGGTGCCTCCGGAGGGCCCTTCTATTACAGGACCCCTTCAATTAGAGGAGCTCTTTTATTTTTTTTTCAGCCATTTTTTCCTAAATTTATCGTCGAAAGTCTAAAATCACCGAAATTGAGCAAGTTTTTGAGCAAAAAGTTTAATTTCACCAATTTTTTGCTAAATTGTAGAATTTCCGAAAAAAAATTATTGAAAACGTACGGAAATTGTTTAATTTCAAAACACCTTTTGAAGGGGGTCTTTCTTCACAACGAGCCCTTCTAATTTTTCAAGCCCCTCTTGGAGGGCCCTTCTATTAGAGTGGCCCTTCTATTAAAGGGGCCCTTTATACAGGTTTTTCGGTAAAAGGTTTCAACGATTGAATATGGCAATGAAACAGCGTATAATAAAATTTTACTAGGTCTACATGAAATTCTGTAATGTCTAACATCCTCCTTATTTTCAGATGTATGACAGATGAAGAATATGCCAGACAGCTTCAAGAAGAAATGGATCGTATGGATGCTGCAGAGCAAATGGATAAAGATGTTCAAATGAGAGAAGATGCTAGACTAGCATGGCTTCTTCAGCAAGAATCCTCCGGAGCCTCTGTTTCCCAAGCAACCCCTAACCAAGACTTGATTTCATTTGAAGAACCGGTACGGAGTGGAGTTCGATATGTAACGGAAATCCAATATAATAACATGGCTAATCAGTTTCTCGGTTTGTACATGATCTCACACACCACCCCAACACTGAATTCAGAAGATGAGCAACCCTCTTCTCAACCGAATCAAATCATCAACCTGTCACCCACTAACCCGTTTTTGCATGATGTTGAAGAGTATTACTCACAACAACCGAATTTGTGAAGTGTGTTCTTTTTTGACTGGCTAAAAACCAAACAACTAGAATCAACATGCTTGTTATTGTTTTCAGCCGATTCCATCATCCACAACAACGTCTTTTTCTTCAACATCACAATCGGCTAACAACTCATGAATCATGCCAACTTTCGCTTTCCATGGTTAATCATATACTTTCATCTGTGTATTCCGTTTTTAATAAACAGATCCAATTGTTTTTTGGTAGTTCAAATATACATATTTCTGAAGAGAAAGAGAAAGAGGTCAAATGTATTGTAATTGGTGTAATTGGATCCAGGTAGGAAATAAAAATCACACAGAAAATGTTCGAAAAGAACAAGAGAATGGGTGGGGGAGGGAAAAAAGAAAACAAGATAGGTCAAGAGAAGGAGGGAGGCGGTTGTATTTAAGAATGACCGAGACTGGTCCGACCTCCGATATTCTGGTGTCTTCCTACCGTCGTCCACTTCCTTTTCTATTTCTCCTTCAACAACATGAAACATTTTCTCATTGCTTCTCTGGTTTTCGCGGTCAGTTTTTCTTTTCATTTTCCAATAGCAAAAAGTCATTCATCATCGCCTCACTTATATGAACATCTTGTTTTCTTTCAGACAATCGTCTGGAATGTTGAATGTGAAACAGACATGTATGATGATTCGTCAATTGTTAAAACAGAGGAAACTGAGGAAGTGACACCTTGTGAGTTTGGGAATCTGGTGGTAATTTTGGAAGTTTTGGGAGGACTTGCATTCCTGTAGTTCTCAACTAATAAGTACTTACAATTATGCAGTTATTCAGAGGGAAGCAACGCATCAATTTGCTGAATTTTTAGGACCCTAGCCGGCCCGCGGGCCGCGCTGGCCCCTCAAGAATAACTTTATTGTGTTGCAGTTCTATTATGTTACAGTTTTATTCTACTCAGTTTTATTAACGATTAGCGCCAATTTTTTCTTATAAAAAGCTGAACATAATCAGCGGTTTGATGGGACCGCGAAGCCAGAATTTCTAGGCCACATCTTATCCTCAGGGAGCTACACGACCAGCCAAACGAGACCCTTGGAGGAAATTCCATGCACCTTTAATTTTTAAATTCGTAAATCGCTTCATTATTAAATGTGCAAGGGTCTCGCTTGGCTGACCGTGGAGTCCACACGGACAACGGCCTAGAAAACTGCATTTTTAGTTGCCACGGCCCTATCAAATTTCTGATTTTGCTTCGCACTGTATAAGAAAAAAACCAGGAAATTGCTGATGTCTGAATAACAGATAGAATAGTCCAGAAACTTAGAAGAATTTAAGATTATTTTCAAATCAGACGCTTTTTGCTTTTCATACATAAAATAAAAATATTCATTAAAACATGTCATACAACTTCAATGATCATCAAACCATGAGTATACAATTTTTCTGGCAACAATGTCCTTCCTTTCAGGCGCATTGAATGAAGTGTGGATGGTCTGTTCGTCTTGTGAAGAAGAATGTGGAAAACCTCCTCAACCATGCCCCAGAATCTGTCAACCAGCACGTTGTCAGTGTCCAGCACACAAAGGATACAGAAGAAATAGCAAAGGAGAATGTGTTTTTTGCCATGATTCAGTACCAAAACTTTAGTTCCTGATGGTTTTTCTTGTTAATACTTGTACGTACATTTTATCAACCAGTTTTCAATGTCAATGAACGAAAAATTCGATTATCAATGTTACTTTTTCCACATCTCATTGAGCAAATCGAAATGAGTATCTGATTCTTTTTCCAACTGTCGACTTGGTCGAGATGTGATCATGGTATGCGATGGTGGTGGATCTGGTAGCATTTCACTCGATTCTTGAGATTCGGGATTGAACAGAAAGGGAAGAGCTCTTCTGAACTTATGTCTGTAGAGTAATAATTATGTTTTTGTAAATTACCTTGAAGCTAACCGCAGTTGCTTATTCTGGAATACAGCAACTATTGGGAATACTACTGCGTAGACTGGAATGACCAATAAGACTACTTCAGAGAATGGAGCAAAACCGACTATTAGTCGATCGTCGGCAGATCTGAATTTAATAGAATTAATGCAAATTAAATAGAAATAACTGACCTGTACATTATCGCAAACATCAACATAGATCCAAGTCCAATAAATCCGAGGATCGCATGAACGGTAATCGAAGGAATCAGAATTTGCATTATTTTCACATTTTCCTAAATTCGAATACCGTAAAACCTGTAATAGAAGACCCCCCCAGAATGGAAAATAATGAAAAGTGACTAAGGGAAATGAGTCGAGCACAACTTTGTTTTCCGATGAAACCTCCTTTACTTTTCTTTTTCTTTTTTACGGAGGTCTAATTTATTCAAGAATCTATTCACATCTGAAACAAAAACAATCCCATCAGTCACGTCTTCTTGGTCTTCTGATTCTCAACATAACCAATTTTGTTGAGAGGGGGAGAAGAGTCTCAACGCTATTTTTTGTTTGGTGTTACATTGGTTATGCACATAGTAAATTCTGAAAGCGCGCCGCCTTCTGGAGCCGTCTGTGATTCTAATTTTAACT